GGTTTCAGCATTATGAGCAAGATGGCGCAATGACCACGCAATGGCTTTCATCTTTCACGCGTATTTTGGCCCGTGGAGAGAAGCAGAGTGGACAATCTCTCGCATGTGCTTATATTCTGGTGGGCAGGATCATACGTCTTGGCTGGCGTTGGGCTTGGCTGGAACGATTCTGTTGTAATTACGGGGCGCATAAAGGTCTCTGGAATCGTTGCACACTCTTGATTTTCGAAAGGGCGTGCTTTTCAGACGCAGCGATGTAACAACTGAGACGCTTATTCGCGTTCATATGTACATGTGAGTACGTTTAGTGCGTCAATTGTTTGTGAAAAACGTGGGGCATGTTTCGATCTGCTTGCCATTTTGCGCGTGACCTTCCAATTTGTTGCTATCGTGTTCATTGCTTCACCTTTGTGGTAAAGCTGTGATTTTTTTTCACTTGGTGCTGACACGATCACACAAATTCAATTAGGACTTGCAACATATATTTATTTATTTATTTATTTGTATTCAATACATACTGCAGACCACAGTTGTGGTCCTGGCAGTACGAGCACTTGAATAGCACAATAATACAAAAATAGCAAAAGGGACAAAAAATGAAATGGCGGACATTGCATTGTCATTCCAACACACAATTAACAACACTAACGAAAAATGGGGCTATACAGTATCTAATAAGTGTGGCTCAGCAATGGAATCCCATTCAGCCACGGTACGCGGGAAAAATGAAAATTTGTAAGTATCGGTATGCGCTTGGTATGGTGTTAGCGATCTAGGGTTATGGTGCCGCGTGTGTTTTGTGGTCAGGGCGGATATATACAGGGAGGGGTCGATAGCCAATTCATGTTTAGTAAGTGAGCAGAGGAAATCGAGACGAAATTTTTGTCTTCTTAACTGAAGCTTGGGAATGTTATTGGCAATCATTAATTCAGAAGGAGAATCCGTGCGACGAAATTTTTAGAAAATGAACCTGACAGCTTTCCTCTGAATCTTTTCCAATTTATCGATGTTATTTTTGGTATACGGGTCCCATACTACAGCAGCATACTCAAGTTTTGGTCTAACGTATGAATGGTAGCAAAACAGTTTAACACTTGCAGGCGAATTACGAAGTTTGTGTCTCAAGAAACACAGTTTTCGAAAAGCGGAGGAGCAGATGTTTTCTGTGTGCAAGTTCCAGGAAAGATTACTAGTGAACGTTACGCCTAAGTATTTGAAGCTGTTGACTTGGTTCACCGCGCATGATCCCAGTGTGTACTGAAATTGGAATGGAGATTTTTTGCGCGTTATGCGGAGGGAAACAGTTTTCTCTGCGTTGACAACCATGCCCCAATCCCTGCACCAACTGTATATATTGTCCAGGTTTGTGTTAAGTTCTATTTGATCTTGCATGCTGAAGATTTCACGGAATAAAATACAGTCATCTGCAAACAGCCGGACATGAGTGGTGGGTGTAACTACAGTGACGATATTATTGATGTATAACAGAAAAAGCAACGGCCCCAGAACACTACCTTGAGGCACTCCGGATGTGACAGGATGACAGCTCGAGGCATGACCATCAATCAAGACACACTGCTCTCTATTCATCAGATACCTAGACACCCACGCTACCAAACTTTCGGGAAGATATATATTTTTTAATTTTTCAATTAATTTGTCATGAGGAACTTTGTCAAATATTACAGGTAATAAACAGATTGTAACTGTGACGAGCACTTCTTGCATCCTAGCTTTACTAAGCACGTTCACGTCATCGAGATGCGTGAAATATTGTGATGTTGTGATAGTGTTTTTTCTCATAATGCAGAGGAACGCCCACGATTATTCGGAACATTCCTACCTCGGCTGTTCGACTGAATGAACACGTCACAGTTATGCTAACTATTCTTACAAAATCTATGAAGTGAAAGATATTGCGCTGCTGTCATGAAAGAAGCGTAAAAATATAAAGGAGCAGGTGAAAGTGAAATTATTTGAGTGGAGTAACACTGCGTAAGTTTACTTATTATATAAATCACTGCTTCTAAAAGCATCAGGCGGCAGTTTTTTCATTCGAAGGACAAACGAATAGAAAAAGTGAATAACCTTATAGCAATTATGTCAAACTTATTACTCTTACTTATCTACCATCAGCGCAAGTTAACATACCTGCCCGACACTTCATTTTATGAGTATTTCCATTAGAGTAGACAAGTCTATATAATAAAGGATAGCTTTTACGGCTCTGTGGTTACTGTTCTGCAAGGACACCAACAAAGGTGTAAAATGTATTCTATACCTTGTTTTCTCAAAGCTCTTTGTCTCAAGGCAATAAGCACTCACGTTATGTTTCCTTCGTAGCGAAAAGTTGTCATTACACTCTCTTTTTTCTATAGAACAGAAATATGCATAGCACTTCCTTTAGATGGGTGCATTGAATATTTATCATTTTTACCATAGTCCCTTACTGACTTTTTTTAACGCCGTGTGTTCATGGCTCTTCTAGTGATAGTCATTGTGCCTCTCTATTTAGAGCGCTACATATGTGACCCGTATGTATAGAAATAAGAATCAAATTTCCAAGAATAAGTGATAACAACAGAACATGCATTGTCACCTATATTACGGCGCTCTTGTGGGTCACCGCATCACCGCTACAATTATTCTCGTTATACAGTAAAATACACATTTTCAGTGGCCTATGATGGCCTATATGTTACTTGGAGTGGTAATTAAACTTTTAGAGCTGACCACCAAAATAAATTTAGGACGATGGCTTGCCATGTAGTCAATAATTGAAATGTTGATAGATATACGGAATGAGTTATAAAGATTGTGAAGCATGAAGCTGGCCTGAATTGTTGCCATATATTTTTCGAAATGCAATACACCATGGAAAATTTACGCTGCTTTACCCTGTGGAACGTTTTTACTCAAAATTTACTCTGTGCCTAAAAATACCGCCGTGAAACAATAATAAAATACAGACTATACTTCACTGTGAATTGTGAAGACGTGTGGTGGTGCTTAATTCTGTCGCGACTTCAGAGGTGGCGATGTTTTCAAGAAAGACGATTGAACATAAAACAGAGTTTGGGTACAGAAAGCAGTCACGCTCTTATTGTAGAACAATCGTTGACTTACTGTTATGAGAAAAGACAAGAAACAATAAGTACTCATTAGTTGGTTGACGGGCTGGTAATTCAACTGGCATGGCGAAAACGATCGTTAAGCGATATGTCAGATACGCTCTAAAACCAGTGTATTACGGGAGTAAAAATGCCGAGTTGCGCTTCAGTGTGTTTCTGTACAATTACTAAGCAACTGGTAGAGTGAAAAATTTCTCACACTTTATCAAGTGAGAGCATCACAGTGCTTATTACTCTATCTCTCTAAGAGAGGTTGATATGCCCATGTACTCATCAGACATGAGATTGCTAAACGTGGTTATATTCCTGATCCGCATCTATATACCGAAGTGCCAGTACAAGGTGAGTCACTTCCGATCCTTAATAACCTCACATATAAGCAGTTGAGAGTACTGTTTTTTGTAGGGACGTCAAAATAACTAAAAGGAGAGCAAAGTTTACACTGGCTCTTGTAGAGTCAATTTCAGAACACTGCCAGGTCCTGGTAGGTCGCTTTCATAGCAAAAACGTTTTACAGTAGCAGCTCAGAAGTCATGATTATGGTTTCGGCATGTAGATATAGTGTGTATTTAAATTTTAGAAATTTCAATGTGTCAATCATGAAAACAATAATCTTTTCGGAAATGAAAGTTTGTCAAAATATGCAAGTTGTGCCAACAGTTATAACTACTAAATAGGTGGGGTGACGTAAACGCGTATTGTCAGGTACTCATATGGGCATACTATCATCTTCGTTGCCTTGTTTAGCGCCAAGAACAAAAAGCGTGGCCGCAATGTTTTTGAAAACTTTTTAACACAGTATTGCCCTCGCACATGAAAGGCGGGCAGCAAGAAAGAAGGATGCTGAAAGAATGATGCGTCACAATTTGTAAAATACGTGCAAGGAGTAGTGTGCGACGTATCGCTGTCCTGTGAAGGGTCGTACATAGTGCAGACGGGCCGCTGCCCTAATGACCGGTCAAGGTAGTGTCTGCGAAATATATAATGAAAGTAGACGGAAACCTTTTTTCGTCACGCTACCAAAAATGCACATGTGAGCTGATATCTCTTCAGGGCCAAGATTGTAGGTATACGCTTGAACAAATATTGTCTACCCTTGGAAACTTACAATAAAAATAAAATAAATTAACTGTGTTAGGGACACGTCTATGTATCTGTAAAAAACAAAATTAGGTTTTATTGTTTTCATCACACCTCCGTAACGTGATAATTAGCGTCACCTTGATATGAGCTTGGTATGTCAGCAAAACTTTGTACTATACATACGATTGCAGCATTTGGAATAAACGAGTTGTTAATGCACCTCGAATTTCTGTCCCTTGTATTCGTCTTTTCATCACAGAAGTCACCATGTTATATGATGATCAGTTCGCCCCTTAAAAAATTCATAATAACAAATGGAGCCAATCACCGTCACAAAATGTTAAAGTCCATCTACTCCACCAACGATGGGTGACGATGAAGAAGAAAAACAGCCACTCGCGAACAAAAACAAAACTGTAAGGCTGACAGATGTGTGTGTGGCGTATTATTTTTCTTTTCTGCCAACTACTGGCGACGTGTGAATGAAGACAGTTCAAAATTTCTTCAAAGAAACCTTTGGTTTGTTTATATGTCTGTTTAGAAATGTCCCCTATAAAGATAATGTGCCAATCGTTTGCCTTTTTCGCAGATCTGAGACGAGCGAAAAATGAAAAAAAAAACTATGCTTGATAAGAAAATTGTGCTAGTGTTCCAAGCTGGCCGAAAAATTTCAAAGATGGCCTAGAAGTAGGGTGACTACCCAACGGTTGGCAGCACTGCCGGGATGCAACACGTTGCGCTTCTAAGAATTAAGGCTCACGTCTCACTGGGTGTGCTTATTTCCAGGTGTCCCATATCCGTCGGTAACCGGTCATGAGAGACTTCTGCGGGACGCGTACTCCGAGGTCGACGTGGATCCTACGAAAGTTGTTTACGTGGAGGCACACGGCACTGGGACCAAGGCTGGTGGCATTCAGGAGCTGGAGGCGATCAGCAACGTAATTTGCTCACCCAGACGCGAGAAACCACTTTTGATCGGATCGGTCAAAAGCAACATGGGGCACTCCGAGAGCGCCTCTGGTAAGAATGTGTCTGTAATCACGCGTCTTTTCATAAGAAAAGCTACTTTTCATAGGTTGTTTCATACGAAACAACCAATGAAAAGTAGCTTTTCTTATTCACGTCACAGCAAGTCTTATTTCATTGGGTTGTAGTGATAAAGTTATTGACAACAAAACTAATAATAACTATTTCTCTGACATCCAGTCGCACACTTACAAGGTACTAGATATGGTGTGCCATTTTGAACATATAACTAAAGAAGAAATACAAGCACATGTGCCCTTCGCGTAATTCTAACTATTATTCTATTTACCGTAATAACAATGCTAACTAGAAACGATCCTCTCTTTTATGTAGCACGGTGTTCAAACTTCCTCTTAGTTTTACCGGAAAACCAACCTCCTTCTTAATATAACGCTAACCACATGCTTGGCTATATCAGCGAAAACGTTTCCAATCAATCCTGTTTAATGAAATTATTGCGTTATAAAACACGAGTTTGCTCGATGTTATAGCATTCACCATCTGTCTGCACTATAGATTGCCGTCATTGATTAATCAATTTCCAACTTCGAAGCTGTGCAGAACCGTGCCTATTGTTTCACGCTTATCGCCACACAAGTAGCGTAACCACCAAGAAATTAAGTTTCTTCGTCCCTCCTTTCTCTGCTCGCCGCTATATTCATTTTATGCTTTCCATAAAATTTACTGCAAATATCTGAGAACGGAAACACTCACAAGACCTTTATACATACCTACTCGCATTGATAATCGAACTAAAATGGAGATTCCACTTTGTTAAATTGAATGTGTTCACGGCTCATTGATACGTAGAAGTAGTTTCAGCTGGAATGACCCTTCCTATGGCATCAAGAGACAATAATACGTTTCGTGAAGCAATAGCTCTTCTGTGAATATATGTATGATTGTGATTGCTGTGATATTTCTTCCTTATTGTTGAAATGGTTGTGTATTCCCACTACTATTTTAATTTTTTATCTTTATGTGAGTTTTTGCCATTCACTTGGGTATTTTACTTTTACTCCTTATGAGGAGTTGCTGCTTCTTGTACACCTTATGTATATATTCACTTCCCCCTGTAATGCCTTTGGGTCCTGAGGGTACTAGTAATATCTATTAGGACCTGATTCTTAATAAAACCTAAGTATAATCGGGAGCCCGGACAACGTTACTAGCTGGACCTATAACTCCTCCTAGTAGGCGAATAGTTCGTCATTCTGAATAATTCTCGAGAACTAACTGTGCCTTCATGTTATTTGTGCCGCTTCTCATCGAAACGAGATGCTAAATTTTGTAGGGAATGTTGAAAATCTCAGACTCAGTTCTGAATGTAAGCTAATAAAACAAAGCTGAAAAAAAGAATGCTTACCGCTGTTTGCACGAATAGGTCATAACGCGACAGTAGAATATGTCTTAACAGCAGTAACTGTCTTTGTGTATAAGGCTAAGAAGGAAAATTTCCGCACTCTTTTGTTCTGTTAGGTTGGTCTTCGGTCGCACCCACACACCCAAATTGAGACGTTTTGTCATTTTTTCTAAACCTACATCGCCCGCCCTCCCCCCAGAAAATGCCTGAAATTTTGTGGCATACAAATAGTCTGCGGCTGCGAACCCAGAGCGTTTCATATGTGTACTTAGAGGATAGTCAACTCCAACACTGATGGATCTCCACATATAACAGCATTCTACAAACTTGTTCATTAGCTTTCGCCATCGGGTGGACATCCAAGATACTGCTAATTCTGCGTAATAAAGTGGTATGGCACTGGTGCGCGGGGGGTCATGACAGGATGTTTCGAATATCCACTGGTGCACTGGAGCACGTAAGTTTTTTTGTAGTGTACAGTACAGAAAGAACTACGCACTGCCGTGTGTTTGGTTATTAAAATGCGAATAATTTCTTAGCGAAATTCGGCGGCTTTGAATCTATCTATCTATCTATCTATCTATCTGTTTGCCTATCTATCTATCTATCTATCTATCAATCAATCTATCTATCTGTCTATCTATCTGTCTGACTTTCTGTCTGTCTGTCTGTCTGTCCATCTGTCTATCTATCTATCTATCTTTCTATCTATCTATCTATCTATCTATCTATCTATTTGCCTACTACATTTAGCTGTCCTGGTCGTTTCGTTAGTGGTATTGATACCAAACTTGGTATAACATAACATGATTTTATGAAGAACAAATTTGATTAGTTATACCAAGAAAATCATGGCATGCATCTTATGATTTACATTTCATGATTCTGCCCCCCATGCGGTACTTTTGTTCTCATGGCGTATTGAAAAACGCGTATGGTAGGACATGCGAACATCGGTGACAGACCATAACGTGGAAATCATGACATGCATGCCATGTAAGTGATGCTTCATGACTACACACCTCACTCATGATGCGCTCGCGCTCGTTTCGCTAGCATATCATATGCCAAATTTCGTATTACCGGCCGTGAATGTATGACATAGGTATCTGACTCGTGCAAACATGATAATCATGAGGTGCGTGTCATGTAACAACATGACTACGTGCCGCGCTCCTGATGCGCTCGTGGTTGTTTCGCTAGCTTTACTTGTACTAAAGTTCGGATTATTAGACGTGAATGGATGACGAAGGTATGAAATTGGTGCAAACATGATAAACATGAGATGCGTGGCATGTAACAATATAACTACATGCTATGCTCATGATGCGCTCGCGGCCGTTAGGCTTGCTTTACGTGCACCAAATTCAGTATTGCGTGATGCGAACGAACGACATAGGTAAATTACACATCCAAATATGATAGATAATCATGACATGCCTGTCATGTAACAACATGACTACATACCATACTCATAATGCGCTCGCGACCGTTTCGCTAGCTGCACACATGTAAAATTTGGAATTATGCCACGAGAACGGATGGTGAAGGTAGGAGACTGGTGCAAACATGATAATGAAGAGATGCGGGTCATGTAAAAACAAGGCTAGATGTCACACTCAAATACAGTGCAACGTGATCAGGCGCGCGTGTGCACCGGCTTTGGTTTCCTCGCACCACGCCGGTGATACCACGCCAGGCGCCGATCTGTCTGTGCGTGGCGCACTGCGTTGCTTTAACGCACGTGCGTGTTGAGTGCGCCAGGCGTCACTCTGTCACGAGGTGAGGCAGTGGTAGGTGTTCCGTGGGCGAACGCAGGGCTGGGTGGGTGACGTCTTCGGCACAAAATGCAGCATGTCGCTTTTCTTTCCCGTTGCCACCGGACCGCGCCGACGGACGCTGGTCGCGCAAGTTGCCCCCAGCGTCCGACTGTAGAATTCTCGCGTTTTCCTAGTAAATAGCGTCACTTCGCTCAGCGTGTGTGCGAGTCAAAGTTACGTCGGAGTATGTTTGGCCCTTCAGGATGCGCTCACGGCCGTTTCGCTAGCTCCACATATATCAAATTAGGCGTTACGTGACGTCAGTGGATAATGAAGGTATAGGACCGGCGCGTACATTAAAATCATAACACGCGCGTCATATAAGAACATGACAACATACCACGCTCTTGATGCACTCGCGACCATTTCGCTGGCTCCATATATATCAAATTTTGTATCACGTGACGTGAATAAACGACGAAGGTATATGACACGTCCTAACATTAAAATCATGATATGTGTGTCATGTAAAGCATGACTGCATGGCACGCTCATAGCGAAATTGTGGCCGTTTCACTACTTCTACATATACGAAATTTGGTATTCCGTGATCTGAATGGAGGACGAATGTAAATGGCAGGTTCAAACATGACAGTCGTGATATTCAAGCCATGTAAAATACAACTATTTGCTACACTCATTGCACGCTTGCGGCTATTTTGCTAGCTCAACATATACCAAAGCTGATATTACGTGACGTGAATAGACTACGAAGGTAAATTATACGTCTAAAAATTATAGCTATGACACATGGCATGGAAATTATGTACGACATAATTTATCTTCGCCTTGTAACGTTGTGATCCTAAAGTGACATGTCAACCTTTTTCATTCGTGCTCGCATATCTTTGATTCCCACAGTTCGTAGGATCTGCCAATTATTTTTTTTACTTGTGTGCGCTGCAACGCCGGATACACTAGTGATCTGCAGGGTGCTGCCAAACTGAGCCGTACTCACCAAAATATTAGTGGACACCGTACACAGCACCACGAATGTTTCGTCAGGAACCTTTGCGCTGAAAGAACATGCGTGAATAGATCTGCTAGTTTTACCAGTGCCAGTCAGTAACACTGCAAAAAAGAGCGGATCAGTCTGATATTTGTAACGTTATTGGACACAAGAAATGCACAAACAAGATTTGCGACTCTCATTACAATGGGCAGCCCTCTTGCTATCAACAATGACCCTGACAACAAACTTATGCACCCCTGGTACTATAAAGGCTCCTGCAAATTCCCGCCGTTACAATGCTGCTGTATTATAAGTGGTTTTATGTGCCGTTGCTGTCGGCAGCTGTTATAGCAGATAAGGTTGGATCGTCCTATAGCCGGGAGCTGTATCCCTGAATAAGTTTGTGGCGAATTTCCCATTTAACGACAGGCTATGAGAACATATGCGTGTAGTGCCTACTGTCATCGTTGACAGAAGTGGCCTACCTTAACTGAATGCGATATCGGCAAGAAATTAATGCACGGCGAACAAATCCAGGTATAAAAGGGAACTACCGCTGGTACACGGCAGAGACCTAATTAACGTTTTGCTAAATTTATGGCGTCGTCGGCGTGGGTGCCTTGAACGTTTAATGAATAACAGTGAGGTTCTACGTGTTTCGAATCGGCGGGGTTTTATTGTTCTGAGAAGGACATTTTTGTATAATTTTACTTTACTTTTATTCATTATATTTCAGTAGGTCTCCTTTTTGTAGAACCCGAAGTAATTCCTGCTTACCAGCTTTTTTTTTTTGAAGAGAAATGATTTTGTTCAGCCTATTTTCTATTCAGCTACGGCGCGCCATGGTTGCGGCCTTTAACAGATGCGGCCTGTGCTGATGTCTTCGATTTTCTAGCGATTTTCTAGAAACAATTTGGAAAATTGTTTCTTGTTGCAGTGACATATTATTTCAACACGTTGCGAGAATGTTAGCTGGAAGAACTATTAAGGGTATCTTTCAGGGAATTCACTTTACTAGCCAAGCAATATTCTATGAGACACTGATCTTTCAGTTCGTTTTACATTGTTTACCCGCAATGAAAATGCATAGGACACACTTTGTAAAACAAACGTAGTATCAGCCGACACAAGGCTATACTCGACACAATATAGGCTTCTTATGGCAGGCTTTGTGGCCTCGTAAATCATGAACAATTTCAGAACATTATTCTCATTGTGGAAAGCGCTCTGGATATTTATAGTCCTAGAATGTTGTTCTTACTTTGGCGCCATTTTTTTCCAGGAATCTCTGCTGTGGCAAAAGTAATACTCGCCATGGAAACGGGCACAATAGCCGCCAATATAAACTTTGACGAGCCTGATCCAGCCATGCCCTCACTGCACGATGGGCGCATCAAAGTGGTTGACAGGCCAACGCCATTTGACGGTGGCATGATAGGCATCAGCTCCCAGGGAATTGGTGGCGCGAATGCGCACGCCATCTTGGATTCCAACCCGGGCCCCCACGCTGAGAGCCTTCCACGTCAGAAGCCATATCTGCCGAGGCTTATTATTATGTCTGGAAGAAGCAAAGAGGCTTTAATGGTAAGTTTTTTTGTGCAGTGTTTCAGTGCTCGCCGAAAAAGCAGCTGTCCAATCGTATTGATGTCCACAAAGCCACACATACTTATGTTGCTACAGATCAGCAAGTGCTGCTTCTTTAAGTAAACACCCTACTTTGCTCAGCAAAGACGAATTTATTCGCTTCACTACTCGCAAGTAAACGTCAAACTGGAAATGCACCGGGTTGCTAACAGCAGGTGTTACGTCGTCTGTTTCAAAGCTGGAGCGTCGCTGCTTAGAGGGGAAGTTTGGCAAGAGCGGAACGTGAGACATCCTCAGTCAGTGCAGCAGTTTTTCATTTTGCACTTTTTCTTCAACCGCAAGATTCTCCGCTGAGTTTTGTATATATGTGCAAACATCCTACTAGTTCCTATAGGAACACGGAATACTGTGCCAACTGCATGAGTGAACGAATGATCTGTAATTACGTGCCAGTAAATAGCGTTCGCTAAGGGTTCTCGCATGTTTTTGGCATATAATCTGTAAAAAAATACGTTTTCACAGCTCACCAGCAGTGCAATATTGTAAGGATTGCAAGACTGGCAAAACGAGCCTGGTCAAGGGTCGCCAGTTGGCTTCCTAAATCCAGTTGCGCCAGTCTTCTATTAGAGGACTATCGAAGAGAAATGCTAACATTCCGTGAATATGAAACAAGGTATAACGTTATTTTAAGACGGACCTGCTCAACCAGAGCGTAATGTGCTTTCAAAATAAGGGAAACTATCAGTACCACCAACCATCTCGCCTTATCTTCGTCCTCTTCTTTTTCATGATCTTTTTGGACACTAGGAAGCATGCAGTTTAAAAGAAAGAGAGTATGTGTACCTCATTTGGGGTAGTCCTGACGTGTTAAGTGCACGGCTGTCGTAAAAGAGGCTCGTGGACGTTTTTACGGGTCCCCTAATTACCACAAGAGAGCACAACGACTGCCAAAGAAAGTAAACGTGCAACTCAAGAGAGCCGTATAAGTGGCCAGAAAAAATTCAAGGCAGTAATTGTTTTTTCTCTCAGAATGTGGGTTGATTGATGCAGTTCGAAAGTTGATCGAAATTTCCGGAGCCCTCAACTACGGCGTCTCTCATAATCAAATAGTGGTTTTGGGACGTTAAACCCCACAAATCATTCAATCAATCAATCAATCAATCAAATCAAATCAGCGGTCCGAAAGTTGAAGTCGAGATAACGAGTTCAGAAATACAGAAAAACATTGAGATAATTAGAGAAGACAGAAAAGAAATGTATATATACGAAAACGCCTATTTAAATAGGCCGAAGGAGGAAGTGACACAAAGAAACATGCAAGCGAAAGCAGTGAAAAAACAGAGCAAAAAAATCCATAACTAGTATAGCTTCGCAGTGGGAAAAGAAAATGAGGGTGAGGAGAAAGCAACGAAGGAGTTGAAAGGGCAAAGTATTGCACAATATTGCGTAGTCTAATATTGCAAGGGTTGTGAAATCAAAGCGTTATTATGAAAGAAGTATTGTGCAAAATAAGGAAAACACTAACCAAGGTTATATGCACAAAAATATAAAAGACGTTTCGGCTCCCCAAACGGGAGCCTTGTTTACAGTGACCGCAAGTGGCGTTGTGCACAGTTTTAAGTTTAGCGCAAACAGCCGCACAAGAAGAGCGCACTACGCCATTTGTGGTCACTGTGAAAAAGGTTCCCGTGTGGGGAACTGAAACATGTTTTTTTAGTTTTTGTGTATTTTACCTTTGTTGGCGTTGTTGTTAATTTGCACTATGTTTGTACTCGACCAAGCAGGACTGAGAGTTGGGCTAGTTCGTGATACATTTGGGCAGTACCAGCGCACAAACTCACGGGACGAAGAGAAGGGACACAAACAGCGCTTGTTTGTGTCTCTTCTTTTTGTCCCGTGAGTTTGTGAGCTGGTACTGCCCATAATGTATTCGACCAGACAAGATCTTGTCGGACTCTTGGCTATATGAAGAAAGGGTGTAGACAACGACGCCTGTTCTGCTGATTTCCCCCTATACGCACTACACGTGCGCAGCTATTTTGCTTCTATTCTCCACATAAAATTATTACATTTGTATCATCCATGAAGCAAAGTATGAAGACATTTGTAAAAGCTCAATTGTTTGTTACTCTAATGTAACTTGGTCAAGTGAGCGTGCGTAAGAAAATTTGCGCCAGTGTACACTTTCATGAGTGTCAGATCTGTGCTTGGGGAACTGAGCGCTCTCTCGGGCTTGGTGTCAGTACTGGTGTTCCATGACCCTCCAAGGAACCTAATGCTTTTTTGTGTGTTGACATGAGACATACGAGGGCTGATGCGCGAATGTACAAAAGTAACGTCCCAATAACTTCTTTCTTGAAGTGGGAGTGGCATTCATTCGATCATCAAGGTCGTAGCTTGTCATGACATGACTCAATTTAAAGACCGTTCTTTCACTGAAGTGGTTCGCTTCTGCGATCAACAAAGAAACAGAGAGAGTTCAGAGCCCATCAGTCTGCTTGACTGTCATTACTTTGTACCACTCATAGTATTGGAAGTATATATTTTGATAAACACTGATGACGGTGCAATTACGCATCGATAAAGACCTTCGAACACTCCGCCATGGGCTTCGTTACAAACACTGCAACAATTATGCAATACTTGTGGGCAAAATTAAACTAAAGGCTTCCAGATGTTTTCGTCAACATGAATTTAGCCAAATTTTCGCTTCATTAACCAGTGAAGCGTCATCGCCAACTTCGTCAGCCAATGAATTGCGGTTTCAGATATGTCGGACAGATCTTCCATAATTCCATATTATTTCATACATATTTCGTTCACAGCAGTGACATGGTGTTATGTTAGTAAATTTCTATATTTACTTTTTTAAATTGTTCGATGCTGCTCACTTTTTCAAACGATAAACTCAATACTGCGGTAGCAATACTGCGGTAGCATCTCTCAAGGAATAAGAGTAGCTACTGTATTACCTTGATTTCAAGAAAGTAGGTCTGAGTCTGAGAGAAGCTTACATAACAGCACAAGAAAGACACAACACATACACACAAGGAATTCACACAGCGCTGTGAGTGTTTCCTTTCTATGTGTGCTGTTTTTTTTTCAAGCTGTTTTATAAGCTTGTACTACCAACAAGTTAAGCTGTCCGTACATCTGACTGAATGCGTGGTTAATTCATTCGAGATAATTGCAGAAATGTAATTTAGGGGCACATGAAAGGATTTCAAGACCATATTTCTGCACTCACAACTTCAGTGTTTCCTATACCAATTTTACAAACGCACTTTTGAATAACCCAAGAATAAATACTCAACGGTGATTACAGGTGATTGCGAAGAATACAAACATAAACGGAATAGCACTCTTTGGCAACAATACTTTCAGAAGATCCCAAACCTTCTTTTCCTTTCTCAACAAAGGAGCTAGGGTTCAGAAGCACGAGGAGCCCTTACTTCATTTGCACGCTTTAGAAAGTTTATGCACGCACCATGCGAGTTATCTTATTATCCAGGGAATATGTGTTCCGTAGCGCGCTTGAAGTCTCAAAGGGCAAAATGTCTGCAAATCTAACCAACTGTCATTGTGAACACAGACAATATTCTTCTTTTTCATCTCACTTTTGCAGCAAACACTGAACCGAATAGAGACAGAGGGACCGTACCCGGACTCTGGTTACGCCTTGCTCAACCGGATTGGTCAGCGAAGCGTCAAGCAGTTCCCGTACCGAGGATTCGCCATCGTGCCAGTGGACGACGTGAACAGGGAGGTGGTGAAGGTACTAGAGCGGGCTCGGCCAGAGAAAAGACCCATTTGGTTCGTCTTCAACGGGGTCGGCTGCCAGTGGAATGGTATGGGACGCCATATGATGCAGTTTCAACCTTTCGCCGAGTCCATCCGCAAGTCACACACCATCCTCAAGGAGAAAGTCGGAGAAGACCTAATGGATATGCTGATCTTTAGCGAGCCTCAGTCCAAGACAATCAAGGAACAATTTGCCTCGATTGCTGCTGTTCAGGTAGTACAAGCACTGTCTAAAAGTTTGCAAAAAACGTTTCGCGAAAAATTGCGTGTATTTGAATTCTCTTTCTCTCTCTCTCATTATATATATATATATATATATATATATATATATATATATATATATATATATATATATACATATATATATATGTGTGTGTGTGTCTGTGTGTGTGTGACGCTATGATGAATGGGTGACGTGGCCTGGCTCATACGCCATATTTATTCTTTTCTCACTTCTTTCTCATCTACTTCTCCCAACCATCCCTGCCTTCTTACGTCACAGGATTTCCCTCCCCCCGAAAGATGGCACCGGTTACAAACTACAACAAATTGAAGAAGAGAATAAACAAAACAATGGCCAAGTTCACAATTTCACATCCCGACGGAGTTTCACAACCTCACTGAATCTTCAAGGCTGAGGGAGCAGTCCAGTGATTTCTATGACGACTCTGGTGGACGAGCTTGACTGTTGCGTCCTGAATGGCATAACCACACCCTGGAAATCTGAACTGATGATGACATCGGTTGAGTTTTTGTGAAGAACGGACAAGGTTGGGAGTGCCTGTAGCATTTGAAGTTCTGATGTTGTCGGGGTTGTATTTTTCGTCGTGAATTGTGCCATCCCAGTGCTTCTTGCTTTCGTGCTTTTTTTTTTTTTGACAGACAGTGACGAAGTGCCTGAGTTCGCCCCGCCGCGGTGGTCTAGTGGCTAAGGTACTCGGCTGCTGACCCGCAGGGCGCGGGTTCGAATCCCGGCTGCGGCGGCTGCATTTCCGATGGAGGCGGAAATGTTGTAGGCCCGTGTGCTCAGATTTGGGTGCACGTTAAAGAACCCCAGGTGGTCAAAATTTCCGGAGTCCTCCACTACGGCGTCTCTCATAATCATATAGTGGTTTTGGGACGTTAAACCCCACATATCAATCAATCAATCAATCAATCGAAGTGCCTGAGTGCTTGCGGTGTGCAAGCAGTGCTTCCGTGTCTTTGTCGGCGTTTTCTGTGGTGGTGCAGTCGGTGTAATAGCTGAAGCAGGGAGTGTCTCTGGTGACTTTTCTTTTTGCGAAAGTGTCTGACGTCTTGAATTCATCTTTGTTTTCGAGATCTTATTTTCCGATGTTCTTTTGTTGGTGAGTGCGCTTTCGTTGAATTTTGCGTTCGTCGGTGCCCTCGTTGCAGTCTCTCTCGTTGTAGCATGAGTTTATGAACTTGGCTTTGCTTGTTTCCTGAGGCTGCTCAAGAGATGGCTGTAGTGGCGCCCTTTCCGGAATGGGGCATTTATTTCCTTCGGTATTTGACGTGTCCTGTCGACAGCTGATGCTTGGTGAATCGGTGTCTTGCTTGTCGGGCATAGTTGGTAATCCATCCTCATCGCTAGCAGGCTCTTCAGAGGCTTCGGTGACGTGGTTCATTACGCACGCTTCTGAAAGACAACTCTGTACGAGGTTTGATGTATCATGTACTTCTGAATTTGTTCGATTCATGAATTGGTGAGCTCTGCATGTGGGCCCCTTAGGTGACATGGCAATACTAGGTTTGAACTGCAGATTTTGGCAAGTCTGCGGTGCCGTAGAAATGGCAGGAAGCTCTTCAGGGGCTTCCTTTTCGCTGTTTACTGCGAGTGGTTCTTGCACCTGGTAGCGTGCGACGTTCGATGCGTCTGAGCCTTCTGTTTTGTTTGGACTCTCGAGAGTGTGTGCGCCGAACGGTGATGCATGAAACCGTACGGAAGAAGAGTGGCTTGGCACGGTATTTTTCCGATGCGTCAACTCGTCTATCGTGAACATGGTGTACTTATGAGGCGAACGGTGAGTGACAGGAATGCTTGAAGAGCCGCATGATGGAAAACCGGGTGGTGGACCACGTATTCGAGACGAAAACTTAAGTGCAGGAGGTGGGTAAGCAACGTCTCGTGTCGTGTGCTGGAGCGACGACTTTGAAAATACCGGCTTTCGTGAAGGGTAACCTGGTGGAAAGCTACGTTCCTTCAGAAATAAGCGTGGACTGTGACGGCCGCGTGTGGTTGCATGCAGATGGCCGGTAATGAGGAAGTCCTTGTTGCAGTCGTTAAAACGGGCAATCATCTCTTCTCTGATCTTTTGCCATAATTCGTCGTTTTCGAATATGTGTATCAGGTAGAACTTAAATGCCTCAACGGTGACGTAGTCAACACGAGCGCTAGTGTTGACTACTATATATAGACTATATATGCCACCGTCACGCCGTGAACCCATCCCACGTCGCGGAGAAGACAACGACGCCAACCAAGAGCAGCGAACAAGCCGCCGACAGCAAGGTCTCCCACCGGAGTACGGGCTTCTAAAAGACAAGGCGCGGAAAGCCAAGGCCATGACCTCTACTGCAGCGACAATGACAACCGGAGCGTCCCAGCCCGCGATCGTCATTAATCAAGCCAGGGAACCACCAACGTTTCATGGGTCATCGTTTGAAGACCCGGAAACCTGGCTAGAAACATATGACCGTGTGGCCGCCCTCAACCACTGGGACAACGAAGAAAAGCTCCGTCGTGTCTACTTCTACATGGAAGACACCGCAAGGACCTGGCTAGAGAATCGTGAGTCCACGCTCCGAACGTGGGATGTCTTCTGCGGCGCATTTCTGCAAACGTTCGCGAGCGTCGCTCGCAAAGAAAGGGCCGCTGCTCAACTAGAGACCCGGGTTCAGCTACCGAATGAAAAGGTTGGAATTTTCACAGAGGAGATGACCCGCCTATTTCGTCACGCTGACCCAGACATGCCTGAGGAGAAGAAAGTCGTTTCCTCATGCGAGGGGTCAAACAGGAGCTCTTCGCGGGACTAATGAGGAATCCACCGAACACCGTCCAAGAATTTGTATCCGAGGCGACCACCATCGAAAAAACCCTTGACATGCGCACCAGACAGTATAATCGTCGCCTGACTCCAGAATGCGCTGCTGCTCAAACCAGGGACTCCGAAAACCTGCGTGAAACGATCCGAGCGATCGTGCGGGAAGAGCTGCGCAAACTGTTGCCTTCGGCGCAACCTCAAGTGGATTCGATCGCCGACATTGTGCGAGAAGAAGTTCGGCAATCACTTCGAATTCCCCCTACACCGCTGCCCGAGCCAGAAACTATGAGCTACGCCGCTGCAGTACGCCACACCGCTCCTCCCCGTCCACGCCAAAACGCCGCCCCGTCGCACTTCCGTCGCCAGACACCACCGCCGCCACCACCCCCACCGACGACCTACCGTTCACCAGCGGGCCAGCGCAGTGCGCCGAGGAAAACCGACGTTTGGCGCACCCCTGACCACCGCCCACTATGCTACCACTGCGGCGAGGCCGGACACACTTACCGCCGTTGCCAGTACCGACAGATGGGACTGCGTGGCTTTGCCGTCGATGCACCACGTCCGCAGCCAGGAGAACTACCACGTGACATCGCCGACTACCTGACAGGAACTCGGTGGACACCACGAAGCCCTTCGCGTTCGCCGTCGCCCAGCCGCCGCACGTCACCGCACCACCGACAGTACTCTGGCCCAACGCGGGGCCGGTCTCCTAGCCCGTATCCGGGAAACTAAGGGCAGCAACCGGTGGAGGTGCGGTTGCTGTGCGACGAACTACCGAAGATCCTCCGACGACGACGACGCCGCGACGGAGCTTTCCGAACACAACGCCAACCAGGCAAAGCCCTGACGACGAAAGCTCACTTACCGAAGGTGGCCTGACGACGCAACATGGAAGCAGCGGAACAAGTCGACGCAGCCGTGACCCGACGCCACGCCCTAACTGTAATGCGAGACGGCGAATTAGCGACCTCGACGTTCTTATCGACGGCCACAGTGTGACCGCTCTCATCGATACTGGAGCCGACTATTCTGTCATCAGTGGGTCGTTCGCCGCGAAGTTAAAGAAAGTTAGGACAGCTTGGAAAGGCCCTGAAATCCGCACAGCCGGAGGTCATCTCGTAACGCCTGCAGGAATCTGCACAGCGCGAGTCACCATTAACGGCCGTATTTATCCTACAGACTTCGTAGTCCTACAGCGTTGCTCGAGAGATGTCATCCTTGGCATGGACTTCTTATGCCTCCATGGTGCTGTCATCAACCTAAACACAAAGTCGATAACGTTATCCACAGAAGAAGCACTACCGCCGCGCACGCCGTCTAGACACCATGCCTTGAATGTGCTGGAAGAACAAGTCACCATTCCGCCTCGCTCAAGCGTCATTATTTCAGTCGGCGCTCCTGAATCACCTGACTTCGAAGGCGTCGTTGAAGGCAGTCAGCATCTGTTGGTCACCCAAAATATTTGCGTCGCAAGAGGAATTGCAGAGTTGCGGGGAGGCAAAGCAACGGTTATGCTCACAAATTTCAGCAATGAGTACAAACATGTTAACAAAGGAACAACGGTCGCATACATCGAAGAAATCGTCGAAGCCACCAGTGCTTTCGCCCTCGCCGATTCTGAGGAACCTGCTCAGAGGAACCAAGCCCCTCCCATAGCTTTCGACGTCAATCCCAGACTTCCGAACGATAAGCAAGAACAGCTCAAGGCCCTGCTCCTGCAATACGAAGATTGCTTTTCGTCGTCATCGAAAATTCGGCAGACCCCAATCACGAAACATCGCATCATAACCGAAGAAAATGCCAGACCACTCCGTCAGAGTCCGTACAGGGTTTCGACGCGAGAACGTGAGGCCATCAAGAGACAAGTTGATGAAATGCTGCGGGATGATATTATCCAGCCGTCCAACAGCCCATGGGCATCCCCCGTGGTGTTAGTGAAGAAAAAGGATGGGACCCTACGTTTTTTGCGTCGATTATCGCCGCCTGAACAAAATCACAAGAAAGGACGTGTATCCTCTCCCACGAATAGACGACGCACTTGATCGGCTCCATAACGCCAAGTACTTTTCGTCAATGGACCTCAAGACTGGCTATTGGCAAATCGAAGTCGACGAAAGAGACCGAGAGAAGACGGCGTTTATAACACCGGACGGCCTCTTCGAGTTTA